AAAAAAACAAATACATAATAATCTTAAATATATATGTACCTAGCAAAAATATCAAAATATATGAGGGAAAACTGAAAAAACAAACTGATGAAACAGACAAATCTATTATCAGAGTTGCAGTCTTCAACTACCCCTAGTCAGTAATTGACAGATTAAGCAGGCAAAATATAGATATAAGCAGGCAAAAAAAGATATAGTTGACCTGAACAGCACTATTAATCAACTTGATCCAAATGGCATTTACAGAACATTACATCTAATATCAGAACACTTTTTATCAAGTTCATACAGAACATTCACTGCGAGTCCATATTCTAGGCCATTAAATACACTTTACCAAATTTAAAAGAACAGAAATCATAAAAAGTATGCTCTCAGTGGAATTAAAGTAGAAATCAACAACGGAAAGATGGACAAACACACGTATTTGGAAATTAACACAATTCTAAACACATGAGTCAGGGAAAAATATAAGAGAAATGCAAAAATATTTTGAACTAAATGAAAATAAAATTAACCTATCAAAATTTGGGGGATATAGAAAAAGCAGTGCTTAGAAGGAAATTTCTAGTTTAAATGAGTATGTGAGAAAAGATCTAATATCTACAACCTAAGTTTTCTCCTGAGGAAACTAAAGGAAGTAATTTTAAACCTAGTGTAAGCAGAAGAGAAGAAATCAATACAAGTAAAACAGAAAAAAAAATAGAAAAAAAATCAACAAAACCAAAATCTGATTCTTTGAAAAGGTAAAAAAAAAAAATTGGTACATCTCTTGCCAGGATAATCAAGAAAAAAGAAAGAAGATCCAAATTAACAAAATCAGAAATGAAAGTAAGGTTATCAGTAAGTGATTCCATGGACATTAAGAAGATAATGAAGGAATTCTATTAACAACTCTGTGCCTACAAATTTGATAACTTAGATACAATGAACCAATCCCCTTCAATGATACAAACTACTAAAACTCATACAAGGAGAAAACAATAACCTAAACAGCCCTGTATCAAAGAAATTGAATGAATAATCCATAACCTTCCAGACAGAAATCACCAAGACCAAATTCTACCAAACATTTAAGCAGCACCAGTGAACTTTTAGAAATCAGCAGGGAATTCTACCACACATCTAAGAAATAATACCAATTCTCCACAATATTTTCCATAAAACAGAAGTAGAGAGAATATTAGATTTATTCTCTGAGACCAATATTACCCTAATTCCAAAACCAGACAGAAGGCATTACAAGAAAAGAAAACTATAGACCAGTCTCTCTCATGAACACAGACACAAAATCCTCAACAAAGTATCAAAAAATCAAATCCAACAATGTATAAAAATCATGCACCTAACAAGGGAATGAATTTATTGTACACGCAAAGCTGATTCAACATCTGAAAATCAATCAGTATATCCACCACATAAACAGACTAAATAAAATATATTATATGATCTTATCACTTGATACAGAAAAAGTACATGACAGAATCCAACGCCCATCTATGATAAAGGTTCTTAAAATAGAATTAGAGGGGAACACCTCAATTTGATAAAGAATATCTACAAGAAACCCGTAACAACATACTTAAGGGTAAGGAACAGGAACAAGGCAATGTCAGGAACAAGGCAAGGTATTCTTTTCCCATTGGTCTTAGTAAACATCATCCTGGAAGTCCTAGCTAGTGCAGTAACACAAAAAAAGAAATAAAACATATACAGATTGGAATGGAGGAAATAATACTGTCTCTTTACAGATGACATGATTTTCTATGTAGAAATGCCACAGCATTGACAAACTCCTGGCTACAAGATCTGTAAAGGTGTAAAGCTAATATACAAAAGTCAGTTGCTTTCTTATATACCAGCAATGAACTGGAATTTGAAATTTTAAAATACCATAAATAATAGTACTCCCCAAATGCAGAATGTGCCTAAAGAATCTAAGTTTATTACAAATATATGAAACAACCACACTGAAAAGGAAGGAGGAATAAGGTGTTGACATAAGGTAACTTTGGAAGTGAGTGGAGTCTATAAAACTAAAGGCAAATATTTCTCTATAAATAAATATATAAAAATAATTAAAGATAAAAACATACATAAACATGCAGATACACATAGGTTATTATACATCAATAGATCTCCTTGCTCTATCAACTGCAAGGGCCTAGAAGCAATGATACCCCAATAGTAATGAGTACTCTTAGCACCCAGATCTTGGTTTTGATACCATTCTCTAACCAAAGGTACCAGGGCCCCTTGGATAAATGGCAAATTCTAGGACTTGGACAGGAAATATACAAGACTTCCTCATCTTGTAGTGCCAGAAATTGTTAAACACACACATACACGTGCACACATATGCACACAGGGATGGGAAGAGGTATGTTAAATAAATACAAGTGCCAAGTGAAAGAGCTTTCAATGGAGTATTATTCAGACATAAAAAGGAATGAAATCTTGCCATTTGCACCGACAGTATTAAGTCAGTCAGTCAGAGAAAGACAAATACCATATGCTTTCAGTCATATTTAGAACTTGAGAAACCAAACAAAGGGAAAAAATAAGAGAGACAGAGCAAGAAACAGACTCAATTATGGAGAACAATATGATGGTTACCAGAGGGGAAGGTGGTGTGGGGATGGGTTAAATAGGTGATGGGGATCAAGGAGTGCATTTGTCATGATGAGCACTGGGTGATGTATGGAACTGTTGAATTACTATGCTGTACACCTGAACTAATATAACACTGTATGGTAACTAACTGGAATTAAAATTAAAACTTAAAAAAAAGGATCCATACCGATACCCTCAAGTAAGTGGAGCCTAACATCCCATTCAGTCTTTCCTAAGACTGTACATAGTGACTTTCTTCCAAAGAGGACAGTATGTAAAGGGAGAAATAAGAGTAACTTTACCATAGAGAATCCTGACAAACCCTATCTCAGCCTATGTCACAAAAGTTTACAACAGTGGTAATATTGATAGTATGTACCCTTTTCTGAAAAAGTAAACTAGACAGGGTGTCTGGCTGGGTCAGTCGTTAAGCAACTGCCTTCGGCTCAGGTCATAATCCCGGGGTCCTGGGATCCAGCCCCACATCAGGCTCCCTGCGTGGGGGAGAGCCTGCTTTTTCCTCTCCCACTCCCCCTGCTTGTGTTCTCTCTCTCACAGTCTTTTTGTCAAAAAAATAAAATAAAATCTGGGGTGCCTGGGTGGCTCAGTTGTTAAGCAACTGCCTTCGGCTCAGGTCACAATCCAAGGATGCTGGGATGGAGCCCGCATCAGGCTCCCTGCTCAGTGGGAAGCCTGCTTCTTCCTCCCCAACTCACCCACCCTGTGTTCCCTCTCTGTCAAATAAATAAAATCTTAAAAAAAAAAAAAAGAAGTAAACTAGACACCCAACATGGGGCTTGAACTCATGACCCCAAGATCAAGAATGGCATGTTCTATGGACTGAACCAGTCAGGCACCCTGATAACATGTACCCCTTATATAAATGTGGTGACATAGCACTTACCTCTCTGGTCCCCTTCCCGAAAGCACTTAATGCCTGTGTAACAAGGAAAAAATCAAGCAAACTGAAATTGTGGGACATTATACAAAATACCTGACCAGTACTTCTCAAAAGTGTCAAGGGCATCAAAAACAGGGAGAGTGAGAAACTGTCACAGCCAGAAAGAGCCTATGGAGACAAGATGACTAAATATAAAGGTGGTAATCTGGATAGGATCCTGGAACAGGAAAAGGGCATTAGGGAAAAACTGAGGGAATTTAATAGGTACTTTGGTAAATAATAATGTATTATTTGGTCAATATTGGTTCACTGTGACAAATGCATCATACTAATGTAAGATGTTAATAGAGAATATTGTGTATGGGGTATACAGAAACTCTGTACTATCTTTGCAATAATTCTGTAAGTCATTAACTTCTAAAATAAAAGTTCATTCACAAAACACTAAAAGCAAATTAAAGGCTAATGAAGAGCTGGGGCGGGGGGGGGCGCAGGGGAAAGGGGGAATCACATAGGTAGATGGATCTGTTGAAATGGTAAGGCAGGGCTTAACAGCAACTTCCTGAGAGACAATTCCTCCTAAGAAAAAAGTGTCAGCAGACATGAGATTAACAGGTGAGAAAAGCACAGCATCTGGTCACTCAGATTTTTCTGGCTCAACCTCCAGTATCTAAATCCAGTGGAGATGGCACTGTATGCAAAAACACAGACTGACAAAAATTCTGGAAAGGAGTGTTTTTTAAAAACTTTATAAAATATCAACACCCAGTGACAATTGGGTAATACCCACCTGAATTAGGGTAACTCTGCTGTAGGTAGAGAATTCTCCACCTTTCTGTTGAGACAGTGTTGCTTGAGTCCATCATGGTCTCCAGACCACCAGTAGCTGTGGGAGCTTCAGGCGATTACAGAGCCCCTGAGAAGGGGCACAGTGCCCAAGAGACATGGCATTACCCAGGGGACAGTGGCACCCACATTTTATCTGACTTCTGAGACCTCTTATACCTCCCCTAAACATCTGAAAGAATTCTGGTTCTGCTACTGCAAGGCAAAGGGTAGGAGCCAGCCCAACACAGGTCACACTCATTACCTCATCTATCTTCTCCATGACCCCGGAAGGCAAGTTTTACCCCATTCAACAGATGACAAGGCTGTTTGTTACAGCAATGGATCTGTAATATCGTCCAGGTTGTCTTCCAGCTTCCAGTCTCAAACATGAGTTTTAAGAAATATTTTATATCCTGACCAAGAATTTTTGGTGTCTCCACTACATTCATGAGCTAACTAGTTTTTTGGATTGCTTGGCATGTATTGTTTTCATGATGAAAGTAATCAGTGTTTTTTTTAGGAGAAAACATACAATGAACAAAAAAGAACAAAAAAATCACCTTCAGATAACCAGGACATAGCTTTCAGAGTTTTCTCTGTACATAGATCACCAGGTAAATGCCTTTGTAGTTTTACAAAAATGGACTGATGCCATATATATGGTTCAACAAACTTTTTTCTTTTTAATTTTACAATATGCCATAAACATTTTTCCATGCAATGGACAAAAATCTGCTACTGAAACATTGAAGGCTGCAGTTAGGTACAAGAGTGATAGCTAAAGCAAGTATTAGTATAAGGTTAAAGCACAAGGCCTAGGCAAATGCCTGCCAGGGGCACTACACAAAAGGAATGTCTTCAAAGCCCCTCTGTGGGGCCCTGCATCCACCCCTGAGTTCCCTTGGGCCCCTCGGGTGGAAGGGGTCCTGTAAACTTTTTTGCATCCACATAAATCCCCCCAATTTCTGTCTGGTTTTCTTCACCTCATCCTCTACCCGGGCCATCTCGTCAAATTCTCTTATCATCTCCTCATTGCTCAAATGCATATCGTGTATGGCCTCCTTATATTCCTTGAGACACTGAGCCAGCCCCTTGTTGGTTTTTCTTTTAGCCTTCCTGGGTACATCATCCCCAGCTGGGCGCTTTCCTGCAACCCTTGGTTCGATGGCTGGCTTTTCTTCTTTTGGCTTCTCCTCATTCACTGGCTTTCCCTCATTCACTGGTTTTCCTTCTTCTTTGGGCTTTCCCTCACTCACTAATTTGCCTTCTTTTGGTTTTCCCTCACTCACTGGTTTTCCTTCTTCTTTTGGCTTTCCCTCACCCACTGGTTTTCCTCCTTCTTCTGGCTTTGCCTCGATTACTGGCTTTGCCTCGCTTTCCGACTTTCCCTCGCTTTCCGGCTTTCCCTCGCTCACCGGCACTGCCTCGCTCTCCGGCACTGCCTCGCTCTCCGGCACTGCCTCCATCACGGGCATTGCCTCGCTCTCCGGCACTGCCTCCATCACGGGCATTGCCTCGCTCTCCGGCTTTCCCTCGCTCACCGGCATTGTCTCCATCACCCGCACTGCCTCGCTCTCCGGCAGTGCCTCGCTCCCCGGCTTCCCCTCGCTCACCGGCACTGCCTCCCTCTCCGGCTTTCCCTCGCTCACCGGCATTGCCTCCCTCTCCGGCTTTCCCTCGCTCACCGGCATTGCCTCCCTCTCTGGCTTTCCCTCGCTCACCGCCATTGCCTCCATCACCGGCTCTGCCTCGCTCTCCGGCTTTCCCTCGCTCACCCGCATTGCCTCCCTCTCCGGCTTTCCCTCGCTCACTGGCATTGCCTCCATCACTGGCAATGCCTCTCTCTCCGGCTTGCCCTCGCTCACCAGCACTGTCTCGCTCTCCGGCTTTCCCTCGCTCACCGGCACTGCCTCCATCACCAGCTCTGCCTCGCTCTCCAGCTCTGCCTTGCTCTCCGGCTCTCCCTCGCTCTCAGGCTCTCCCTCGCTCTCAGGCTCTCCCTCGCTCTCCGGCTCTTCCTCGCTCTCCGGCTCTTCCTCGCTCTCCCGCTCTCCCTCGCTCTCCGGCTCTCCCTCGCTCTCCCGCTCTCCCTCGCTCTCCGGGTTTCCATCTTTTGGCTTTGTCATACTCTCTGGCTTTTCTTTATCCTTTAGTATTTCCTCATCTTCTGTCATTGTCTCTTTTTCTAACTTTTCCTTGTTTTCCATAGTACAGGCTACTTCCGGCTTTCCCGCATCCTGTGACTGTTCTTTGTATTCCATCTTTTCTTCGTTCTCAGTCATTCCATCATTTTCACTGCAGAGTTTTTCCATGTTGAGATTTCCCCCTCCTTCTCCTGTCCTGGGGTGGGGAGAAGAGGAAACAGGGGAGACAAGGGAAACTGAGAGCTTGGGGTGGAATGCAGGTCCGAATAGTACAGGCATCTCTCCCCTTGTCAGGGTTCCCCTAACCTAGGCCGGCTTTTAAGTGTGCTTTCTGCCCACCCTCTCCCCTCACACATGTGAGCCAACCATTTCTCCTGCAAGCCCTGCCATTTTCTCTACGTTTGCTCAGCACGACAGATTGTGTATAAATGCGTTTGGAGCAGGGAACTGACGCCCCATATTCTGCTGGTACTGTACCCCCCACACTCCCCACCCCTTTGCGTCCCTGACCAGAGACGCCCCTCCTTCACTGACCTGCAGGGATTCTGAACAGATTCCTCCTCCTTTTCTAGCCTTGCAGAGTGCTGAGAACGGACACGCAGACCTGCAGACAGACAGGAGACAGGGGCTGCGCGTTTGGGTGGATGAACAGGAACCCAGCCCCTTTCCCGAATCCCGGCCCTCCTCATCCAACGTTTCCTTCCCCCACCTCCTCCGCCCCCCGCCCCGCACCCTAGCCGCCATTTCTTTTCACGCCTCGGGCGCCAGACCAGGATGTTTTCCAAACTAATTTTGGATCTCTGCGTCCTTCTCCCCAGAGGCAAGTCGCCTCCCCACCCTTGAGGTCAACTTTTTTTCTCTACGCACAGAGTGGTAGAGAGGGTTTATTTCTACTGTCTCGCTGGCGGGGCGCCCCCCAGCTCACCAGCTCCGGCTCCAAAATGGACGGAGGGCAGCGAGAAGGAGGTGAAGGAGAAAAGGGTACACGGGTACTAGGGGTGTCCGCTCTGCCCACCCTCCGCCGATTGGTCGCTAGCTCCCCCTTAGCCATTTTCCCACCCCCATCTCTAGCTACACTCCGGCGAGCTTCCCTCAACCAGGACCCCATCCCCACCCTTTTTCCTCTCGGTGTTCGTGCCTCACCCCCATCCCAGGGTTCCGCAGGAGGCGAAGAAGGCCCTCACACTGACCTCAAAGAACCTGGAGCAACAATTAGGAGCTTGCAGACCGCTCCGGATCCGACCGCAGGGGAAGAGGGCGGGCTCCCAGACTGGTGCCCACATCTGCGCCCCGACGATCACGTGAGCGTCGCGTCACCCGGGCTCGCCCCCCTCCCCCTCTCTCCCAGCCGTCCCGCCCACCAGCCGGTGTCTGCCAGTCAGTCACCCCACCGGTCTCTGGAGCGCTTCCCCTCTGACCTCTCTGGGCCCTTTTGTCCTTTTTCTCTTCTTGAGGTGGTCGAAGGAATAATTTTAATAAAAACCACAGAGGCTTTTTTTCATGGTTTGGGCGGTCGGGGGAGGAGTCTTGACCAGTTGCTCTTAATTTCCATTGAAAGGACTAGAGCCAGCCAATGAAATCGTATGAATGTGAACTTTCATGTGGTACGTAGAACATTGCCCTTTATTTTTTTATTTTAAATTTTTAAAGTTGTATTTATTTACTTTAGGGCGGAGGGGCAGAGAAAGGGAGAGAGAGAATATCCAGCAGACTCCCCGTTGAGCTCTGAGCCCATGCAGGGCTTCATCCCACCACTCTGAAATCAGGACCTGAGCAAAAATCGAGTCTGAGGCTTAACGCACTGAGCCACCCAGGCACCCCAGAATATTGCACTTTAGAAAAAAATTAGGAAAAATGTTCCTCTCAAGATAAATTTGTTCCTTTTTTCTGACATGTGCAGACATTAATTTTCTAATTAAATCTTAAAATCATATTTGAAGCAGAATAAAGGAATGATTAATTTTTTTTTATAAGCGATCTACTAAATATACAACGGACAATGACCTGACCATACATGACAATAGAACTGGGGACCCACAACTTCTGCAGCAAGCAGCCCAGGAAGCCAAACCCTAGCCTCTGAAGCAATCTTCAGGACTTGATCATTGACTGCCAGCCTCCCTATTTTTGCCCCCCCCCGCCAAGAGAAATCGAAATATACTCCCCAAACCAATCATATAAGGTGTGCCGCTTTTAGTTAGCCTGCTTCCAGCTTCCCCATGCCAACAGCCTCCAATCAGAGAATACTTAAAATCTTCTCTTTTGTTGGGCTAAAGCTTTTCCACTCCCCAGAGACATTCAGTCTCTGCCAAACACAAGTAATGGTGGCTGAGTCCCTTGTTATAACAAGTTCTGAATTAGTAGTCTATGTTTAAGGTTTTTGTGTGGGAGGCCTTTAAAAATATAACAGACATGAACAACTAAGGAAAACGTTGATAGATTTGACTACCTGAAAATGTGTACCAATTTCTTTCTTTAAAACAATAGTATCATTTTCACTATTTTAAAAAGGATTTTATTTATTTATTTGACAGTGAGAGAGACAGCGAGAGAGGGAACACAAGCAGGGGGAGGGGGAGAGGGAGAAGCAGTCTTCCCACTGAGCAGGGAGCCCAATGCAGGGCTCAATCCTAGGACCCTGGGATCATGACCTGAGGAGAAGGTAAGACACTTAATGGTTGAGCCACCCAGGCACCCTGTGTACCAATTTCTTAAGGGATTGAGGACACATGCACTCTTCCCTGCTCTAGTTGAGTGGAAAGGTAAAAAATATTCTGAAAAGTAAGCTGGTAAATTGTTTTAAAATAAAAATATTTGGGGTGCCTGGGGGGCTCAGTGGGTTAAGCCTCTTCCTTCAGCTCAGGTCATGATCTGGGGGTCCTGGGATTGAGCCCTGTGTAGAGCCAGCATCCAGCAGGCATGGAGACCTGCATCAGGCTCCCTGTTGGGCGGGGAGCCTGCTTCCCCCCTCTCTCTGCCTGCCTCTCTGCCTACCTGTGATCTCTCTCTGTCAAATAAATAAATAAAAACCTAAAAAAATTTGATATTTTGGTTCAGTAATTTCACTTCTAGTAATTACCCATGGAGAGAATTAATAATGTGCTAAACTATAATCTTATTTTTTAAAAAATGCTTTATATTTTAAAAATTCCTATAATAATTGTTTATTATGCATTTATTCTTTGTTGGAACTGGGGCTACAGTATTCATTATGTAGGCTTTGTTTATAATGGAAAAAATGGAATATCACAATTGTCCATCACACAGATTTAGTTGCATAATCTTCTTTTTTTTTTTTTTTTAAGATTTTACTTATCTATTTGACAGAGATCACAAGTAGTCAGAGAGGCAGGCAGAGAGAGAGGAGGAAGCAGGCCCCCGGCGGAGCAGAGAGCCTGATGCAGGGCTCGATTCCAGGATCCTGGGATCATGACCTGAGCCTAAGATAGAGGCTTTAACCCACTGAGCCACCCAGGTGCTCCTGCATAATCTTCTTAATACATTTGTTTACCCTGGTTATCCTTGGATGTTTGGTTAAGAAAAATAATGAAAATGTTGGGTTCTCAATACGCAGTAGAAATTATTAACTATTTATGATCCCCAATTACTATGGGTAGTGGGACACAAGAGATAGTCACAGGATGTGGTATTGCCCTCTAGAGAATGCCACCTATGTGCCAGGAACTGTGTTAGCTACTTTATCTTACCTGGTGTGTAATTCATTTACTTATTTATTATTCTTTTTTTCCTAAGATTTTATTTATTTAGTTGACAGAGAACACAAGTAGGCAGAGTGGCAAGCAGAGAGAGAGGGAGAAACCGGCTCCCCACTGAGCAGAGAGCCCCATATGGGGCTCGATTCCAGACCCTGGGATCATAACCTGAGCCGAAGGCAGACGCTTAACCGACTGAGCCACAGGCATCTCCAGAATTCATTTATACCTGATAAAGGAACTCACACTTCAAGGAAGCAGAATGATTTATAAAGCTATATGCTTAACTCAGCATGGAATTGGAATAAGCATAGCAGGAGGAATAAAACACAGAGATCTCACAACATACCCAAGTATAAAGGTTTTTAGTATGTGATAAGAATCCATCTCTGGTCAGTAGAGAAAAATAGGTTATTATGGAAATTACTTTGTATAATTAAATAGTTAAAGAAAAAGGAAGATCCTTATTTTCTGACCTACAATCAAGTTCTTATAGGCAAGTACAATGAAATAAAAGGCATCCAGATTACAAAGAAAGAAAAAGTTCCTTTATGTGCAGATGGCTTGACCTTGTATATAGAAAAACCCAAGAAATCCACTAAAGAACTATGAGAACTAATAAATGAGTTCAGAGCAATATATAAAAATCAATTGTATTTCTATATGTTAGGAGTGAACAATTTGAAATTGAAAGTAAAACATTTCCATTTAAAATAGCATCAAAAAGAATAAAATACTTGGAAATAAATTTATTAAAAAGTCCAAGACTTATACACTGAAAGCTATAAAATTATGTTCAAAGAAATTAAAGAATACTTAAATAAAGGGAAAGATATCTTATATTCATAGATTGGAAGACCTAATATTGTTAAGATGGGTAACATTTCTCAAATTGATCTACAGATTCAACACAATCTCTGTCAAAATCTCAGCTGCTTTGTTTGCAGAAATTTATAAGCTGATCCCAAAATTCACATGGAAATGCAACAAACACGGAATAGACAAAACAATCTTGAAAAAGAAGGGCAAAGTTGGAGGCCTCACACTTCCAGATTTCAAAACTTACTATAAAATTATAGGAATCAAGACAGTGTGGTACTGGCATAAGGGCTTATAACCAATGAAATAGAATTTAGAATCCAGACATGAACCTTCAGATTTATAGTCATGGATTGTCAACCAGAGTCCAAAGAAAATTCCATGGTGAAAGAATGCTCTTTTCAATAAATGCTGCTGAGACAACATGCAGAAATGAATTTGGACCTCCACCTCATACCACATAGAAAACTTAACTCAAAAATAAATAAAAGTTCTGGGGGTACCTGGCTGTCTCAATCAATAGAGCATGCAACTCTCGATCTCAGGGTCCTGAGTTCAAGCCCCACTTTGAGCATACAGCTTACTTTAAAAAATTAAATTAAATTAAATCAAAGTCCTCCATGTAAAAGCTGAAACTATTAATCTCTTAGAAGAAAATAGAGATGTAATTCTTCATGACCTTGGATTAGGCAATTGTCTCTTAGATATGACACTAAAATCTCAGACAACAAAAGAAATATAGATAAATGGGATTCTATCAAAATGTAAAAATTCTTTAATTCAAAGGAGAACATCAAGAAAGTGAAAAGACAACCCACAGAATGAAAGACAATTTTTGATAGTAATATATCTGATAAGGGACTTATATTCAGACTATATAAGGAACTGTTGCAACTTGATAAGGAAACAGACAACCCAATTTTACTTTAGGGATTTTGAGGCTTTTAAGAATTGAAATATATTTGACCTATAACATCACTTAAATTTAATGTGTACAACACATTGATTTAATAAAGTATATATTATACTATGGTTGCCACTGTGTTGATAATTAGCACCTCTATCATGTAACATAATTATCATTTCTTATTAGTGGTTGGAATAATTGCAATCTGGCCTCTTAGTAAGTTTAATGATTATAATCTAACATGTTGTCTATATTCACTATACTGTGCATTAGATCTCTAGGACTTAATTACTATTAATTGTAAGTTTGTAGCCTTAGACAACATCTGTCCTATCTCCTTACCTCTTAGGCCCTAGTAAACACCACTTTACTCTCTATTTTTACAAGTTTGGCTGTTTTAGATTCCACATATAAGTGATATTGTACAGTATTAGTCTTTCTCTGACTTGTCTCACTTGGCATAATGTCCTCAAGATATATCCATGTTGTCACAAATGGCAGAATGTCCTTTCTCAGGGCTGAATAATATTCCATTGTATAAATATACCACATCTTCCTTTTTTTTTTTAAACCACATCTTCTTTATCCCATTCATTTTCTGCACAGAAAAGAAACAACCAACAAAAAGAAAAAAAAAAAACAGCCTACAGAATGTGAAAAAATTTTTGTAAACCATCAGATAAGGAGTTAATATCCAAAATATATATATAGAACTAATATATCCAAAATATACTCATACTATTCAAAAACAAAGAAACTCAGACAATCCTATTTAAAAATGAACAGAGGAACTAAATAGATATTTTCCCAAAGAAAATGTCCAGATGGCTAATAGATACAGGAAAAGACACTCACTCAGCATCACTAAC